ACGACATCAAGGAAGTGCTCAGTCAGCTCGACCTCAAGTGTGACGGTGGTGTGTGTTATCTCTCCCCTGAGAATGAGGAAGCTTTGAAGGAGCAGGTGAAGAACACTAACATCTCTCTGACCCCTGAGGATTTGGAAACTAAGATGACTCAGGTCTTCTCTATCATCATCAAGGAAGGTGTACTCGCTGCCGGCTCTCTTTGGCAAGAGATTGTTTACTACTTTGCTGAGCTCGGCCTTCACCCCAGCTACTTCAAGCACTTCACCAGTGCTCAGATTGCCAGACACCTTCATTGCCTTATCGCTGCTAAGAAGGTTGCTCAGGCTACTGAGTCTGACTATATCCATTTCGAGATTGAGGATGCGGATTCGGCTTTCTATCTCACCACTATGGAGCCTGAGAAGGTCGCCATCACTGATGCCAAGGTTGCCGAGTACATCAACACTGCTCAGGATTGTGGCTTCTCGGTCACCTTCCTCAAGTCTGAGAAGCCTCCCATGCCTGAAGGAAAGTTCCCTCTTGGCGTCTTTGTTGTTGATAAACAACAGTTTGACTCCAGTGTCAAGTTCGAGGACATGATGGATGAGACCGATCTCCAGCTTGTGGCTACCCCTCGATTCCTTCAGGAGAGATCCGTTGAAGTACAGAAGCTTTACCAGACTCTCATTGACGAGACCATGGCTACTCGAAACACTGTTGTTAAGGTGTTCGATGCTCCTACTAACTTGGCTCAGAAGTCCGGCGCCCAAGTGTTGCAGCTTGCTGCCTTCGATGTGGATCGTAAGGGAAGTGCTTACATCTCTGAGATCAACGAATGCTTCCGTTCCCATAATGTCGAGCCTAAGAGTTCTATGTAGATTCCTTCGCCAACGGTGTTGTCACCTACACCTGTTTCTTCGACCCTACGTTCCAGGGTGAGGCTTTGGAGAAGCTCGCGCAGACTCTCCGTTATGTGAGCCACTTCAAGCATAACCCGAGGAAGTCCGCCTTGGTGTGGGAACTTGTACTCAATAACATGATCACGCCCGAGCATG